ACACCGCCACGGAGTTTTCAAAAAAACCGACCCAATCAAGAAATTCTAGAGGCATCACTGACCGTATTAATCTCGTCTCCAAAGAGGAATTTCTGATCACCAAGCAGATCTCGGTAGGCATCGTAGTCCTTTTTCAAGAATATTTTGAAATCTTCAGTGGAAAAATGGCCAAGAGATGCCGCAACACGATTTGCTGCCTAAATCGTCAATCTGTTCGCTTTCATTACTTAGTTCAGCACTACTTGTCAGTTTCCTTTTTTTTCGTAATGAGAATCGGAACTGTTCCGTTCATTTTCGAAGTTGAAATTCTTCCTCTGAGGAACATTTCACAATAATAGTAACCGTATGCATTATATTACGAATAGCTTTTTTTTTACTGAAAACGGATCAGAACTCGTACCTTTCTCCTGAAAAAATATGCAAGAATAGGTAAAATCAGCTTTGGTACTCCAAGTTCTTCCAACATCATAGAAAAGAAGTTATTTGTCCCAGTCGAAAGCACTTTGAATTGATACAATACCCTGAAAATTTTGTCTTTTTAGGGAGAAAGGAAGTAATCATACTGGTCGATCTACTCAGCCGTTCGCTTCTCAATAGCAAAATAATTTCTGAGTCACTAGTTAATTTTTCCCTAGACTTCGAATAGGTCCTCCTTCCTGCGCTGAGGAAGTTTGATGTCGTTGCACACATATCCATCGTATAGGTTTTCGATCTAAGCTGAACAAAAACGAGTAGGATTGTGAAAACCTCGAAAGACTCTACGGTTTGAACTGATGGGAACCGTTTCTCCCTTATTTGGTACTAACTTTTTTTTTCCACTCTTATCCCACCATCTTTTAGGGTTTTATCGGGAGATGGATCAGATATTAAGACTCCTTTTCGCCTTAGTTAATACCCTATTGTTTTCTACCATGAGTAGGTTCATTCTGTATTGACTCTCGTGAGAAATTTGCTATGCGCTCGTCGAACTTACTCACTGTCAGAGGGAAAACCGGCCCTGTTACATTTTTACGGTGCAGATGATTGTGAAGCACTCTAGAGAACGAACATTGACTCAAACATAATTAAAGGCAAAGTACACAAGAAAAATGGTTCCTAAGATTCCATCACAGGATGAATTTGAGACCCCCGCGTATACCATATCTGACACTATTAGGTCGGAAAACGGCCTAGTTGTGGAGTTATAAAGGCTCAAAGATCGGCCTGTGTGTATCCTCGGACGAGTTTCACCGGCACTGTAGAGGCTGCACCGATCACAAAGGAACACATGTAGGAAGTTTAAACTTTTGTCATGACCCATAGCGATAGTGAAAGATAGTTCTGTAGAGTTCTGGCTTGATGTNTTTCCCCTACTTTTAAGAAGCCATATTTTTCTCGAAATCGGCGAATTCTCTTGCTTTCTTCACTACCGATGAAGTATTCCCAATCTGAACTCTCGCTTTTCGAATAAAAACTGGTACCTCCAAATTATCGTGAACTGTGCCTTTAAGTCTTATTGATTTTGTTAGGTTCAGTCAATCCGAAACGGCTTTGAGAAGGCTTACGAGAATTCATCCAGACCGCCAGTTTGCATGTTTTTGTGCATTATACATATTTTCTAAGGGGTGGAGGTGGGTTAGGGACACATGCACAGTGCGGGGGTCTAATCCCCAATCGAAACCTGCCCAGATCAACGAAACCTTCCATCCCTCCAGGTAGTAATCTCGTCTGGGAGGATAAAGGCCCTAGACTGCACATCGGCTAGTTACATTAAGGCCGCCAAGTATAGCATGTAGTATATGTAGGATTATAGGCCATGTACGCATTTAAAAGGGCAACCAAGATGAATTAAGGTTAGTACGGGGCTCATAACAAATTTGGGTATTGAGTATAGCTAAAAGGCTTTTATCCTTTATCCATACTTTCGTGACATAAATTATCCCAGAACACTATAAAATTGAAGGTGAATGAGAGAATTACAATAATTGAGTGCTGATAAGCTATGGCATATAAGCCATTAAGAAGGCGAGGGCAAGCGGGGTCTCGGTAGTGTAAGGGATAAGAGCGCGGTCCCCGGAAAGGGCAAGTACGGGTTTGAGTCCCGTCCGAGNCTGAAGTTTTGTCCATGAATCGCCAACCTTGTGAGACTTTCGGAACGCGTACTGCGGCGATATAACAGCAGTTAACAAAACATCAAGGCAAAACAAGAGAATTACAGTTTTTAACCCCTCCTTTTAAGGCCCTTCTGGGCCAGCACCTATCCTCTAAAGCTGTTCGCTATAGACTGAAAAACGATAACTGTCTGATACAACTGGATCGGATCAGAAATATCACTCACCGTTATACGATAGATGTATCTCATATGAGCTGTGTACGTTTAACAAACGATAAATGTCAGTGAATTTGAGTCATCAAATGAAACACTTACAAAAATGTGTGGTTGTCGGTCATCCTGTCGATGGTTCTTGCTATGGCCTCATCTCTCGGTATTAACAAAGTCTGAATGTTTTGAATCGAAGATAAAACATTATTCATCATGTTCGAACCAAGCACCCCACTTAAAAATGATTTGATTTTTCAATTCTCACAGATTTCATGGTAATTCAGGCCACTTCTAGTTGGGCCTGACTCGCTCCAAAGTGTGGGTGGTGTGGATGCTGGGCATGGCTTTTATATTACTAGTAGTCAAGTTAAACAGATGTTAACCATGCTTATTTTCGATGGCATGGGGGCGAAGCTCTGATGAACCCCAATTAGCGCTACCTTGAGAAGCCCTTTTGCAGAGCAGAGCAGCTTATGAAATATTTTGGGCAACCTTGGTTTTAAAGTGTTCCGTGAGACGGTGAATGATGATCTGTGAGTCGGCAATGTGTTCACCGTTCAGCTCGATAAATGGTAGCAGACCGTATTGTGAACGTCCCATCAATAGTGGGCGTACCTGTGAAAGAAAAGGAGATCACTTTGGTGAAACTACAAATTAACTTTACCTATTACTTACTTCATATGGGATTTTGTTGGCCTTGAGAAACGTCTCAACCTTCAGACAAAACGGTGACACATTCGGCATGCAGGAGCTCCTTGGGAACTGGTACAAGTAGACAATGTCAGGTTTCCAGTCATGGTTATGAATGGACACCTGAAAACTTAATTTCACTTACTTAGCCTTTTCTCTGCTTAACATATAGTTGCGCCATCGCGTGGCCCGTTTAGATTGAAAAAGCGCCATGTTCTATCGACAGCGACCTCCGTCGCGGCGTCGACCTCTTAGGATCGTTCTCAGACACGTCCTTGCAGCATTTCTTCAGATCACTTCTTAAGAAGCTGCGTAGCCTTCTTGCTTTTTGGTAAGGGACCGGGAGCGTTCCGCTATATTCATTTTGGATGGGCTTGGATCTGATCTACGCCTGATTCGTGCCCCATTTGTCTGCGACAATGTGAACACGAAGGCATCATGTACAGTAGGGGTCGCGCTTTTTGAATAGGTATTCGAGCGTTGGGCAGTGGTGGTTTAATGGCAAGTGACACACTTCACACACGCATGATCACAGGTTCGAATCCCGGATCGCTATAGGCCTAGGCCAACCGTACTTTCCATTCCTTCGGGATAGGAAAATTGATATCAGACCCGCCTGATAAGATAAAAAGCACTAGCTTGTACTCGGCTGGCCACCGTAAGTCATTGCATACAGTGCGTCCCATGATTATAAGGTCACCCTCAAATTTTGCACTTTCAAGAAAAGCAATCATTAAGGATGTTTTCGAGCATCATGAACGGATTTCCCAGCACGAATAACCTATGTATCCGTTTTTTAGCCGCAGCTGCATTTTTCTGAACTTTTTTAGAACAGTTT